TTAGTATATATCCACGTATGCCTATGTGCGATTGTCTATTCGTATATCTATGTGTGCGAATGTGCAATTTTTTGTATGTTCTTGTGTGTATGTATTTTCATATGTACATACCTATGCGTGGGGAATATGTTCTTATGTAAGTATGCGCTACGTGTACGTATTATTGTGCGTATGTTCATGTGTGCATTTTGTACACGCGTCTGTGTTTTTCATGTATGTGTGATTCAGTGTATTTTCCTATTCTTGTAAGTGTTATGGTGTGTTATGCATGTGTGCTATCATGTGTGAAGTGTGGCACTTGATTAAAAGGATTATTACTTGGAACATGAGACCCAGGTTCGAATCTGACTATGGCCAATTTTTTTTTTTTAAGAAATATCAGTTTTTGTCAACATTCGGAAGTTCCTGAAAACCATAGTAGGGTTCGACTTAAGCCTTATGAGTGAAATTGGACAAAAAAAAAAAAAAAAAACAGTTTAGAAGTTGTCGATAGATACTCTAGACTGAAGTGATAAGTCATCGTGACTGAGAGCATGAGGGCACTGGCCTTGTTTAAAATGTAACTGAACACTAGAAACTGTAACTAAGGTCCGCCCAGCACAGTTGCAGTGTAAACCACAGTTTGGCCTGATGGGTTTTGAAGAAACACAAATGCGCCTGAGTAGCTGACTGCAATAAGGATTAAGGAGCCACCCTAACAGATAGGCATGCTCCGATACGAATGGCCAGTCATATGTATGTTTGTACTTAATATCGCTAATCATTTAGCGTGTTTTAGCATTAAACTACGAAAAGTCTGTATCATTTAGCTTTATTTTCATATCTGAAACAAATTAATTTTAAACATTTATAATAAGTAGGATCGGATTAAAAATATTTATATAAATTCATAAATCCTTTTTTATATCCCCATATATTATAAATAATTTCCTTATGCTCATCGTCATTTACACACGCTTTTTTGTATTTCTTTCCTTATCGTTTTTATTTTTTATTTTCTTTCTTTTTTTTTTATCTCCCCTTAAGCCATAACGCTATAATGGCTACCCGAAAGCAGCGTCTTTAATTTTAAATTTGTAATCATTATTTTTCCTTATACATTTTTTCTAATCTTCTAAAAAAATGTAACTTACTAGCATCGCATTGAACACACTTCTGTGCAATTTTATTTTTGCGCAATGTAGCAGTGATACTCCCATACACCATCTGTTTACATTTAACAGCATAGCCCTTGTGCCCGACGAGCTGGTAATCCAACGAATCTCCAGTCGCACACCAAAACGTAGGTACACGTATATGTACTAATTAATATATATCTGTATAACCACATCGGACACTATTATATTTATATCTCATGTATGAATTTGATGATTATTTATTTGCTTGCCTGCGTATGTACACCAGCACACGTGTATACCCTTGCTTATATCTAGACGTTTGATTTATCTTGTAACTATACATTCATATATACATACTGTTACGAATGCAGATAGCCCAAACACGCATATATTAAGGTTAATCTCCGCTTGATAACAGAAGAGGTCACGTGGGAGTCTCAAGACATTTTGGGAAAGCAAGTCAAGAGATTGACTGACCCAGTTACCCGTAGCAACAGACGTCTAGACAGAATCTAGACAGGGGACTGACGTAAGGTCGTGAAGCAGCAGGAACTGGAATTCGCGCCAAAATGCAGGACACGTGGGAATTAGAAAATTACTTGGAAGTCAGTTGCTGTCTTGTCTTTGAAGGAGCAAGACTCGAAATCGAAGCGCTGATAACTTATGAACAGAAAGATGAGACTCATTTTGGTAATGATGGAACTTGTCCGATTCATCATAAGCAACTCCGGATAAGAAATATAAGGATATATGTTTCTGTTCGTTAACTCCAAATTGAAGAAGATAAATCGAGTTATTTATCACAGAAGACGCAAGGAAATTTGTACGCTGAGAATACAGCCTGTGTTTGAAGAAAGAAAAGAGAAAACCAGAAAGAAGGAGAAAGTATATATCTTTGTTGCAGCCGAATCGTGTTTGAGGCTGAACTGTGTAAAGAAGAAGAAAGAAAGAAAAGAGAAAACAAGAGAGAGGAAGAAAGTGTATATCTCTGTTGCAGCCGGACCATGTGTGAAATTGGATTTGTGTAAAGAAAAAAGAAAGAAAGAAAAGAGGAAACGTAAGAGAGAAAAGAGAGGACAATGAGTAAGAAGAGAGAACTGAATATAAAGATAAGTAACTATATATTTTGGACCCGTATTAGAAAGATACACATGCATCCATAAACTTTATGTTCTCACAAACATTTTTCCACATGTGAAAATAGTAATATATAAATCCTATCCCATTTCTTTTTTTTGGTTATGCGTTGATTTCTGCATTCGTAGTTATTCATACTTATTTTTTTTTATCCGTTCGGGTTCAGTCGAATCCACTTGGATTTGGGCATATTCTGGTCGTTGGATGCTTTACTCATGCTTATATTTTTCTTTTATTTTAATATCTTGTGTATATGTATATATTAAAATTCTTATACCAAAATCTATTACGCCTTATTGTTCATCCTTGAATTGTAGATCAGTATTTGTGTTGAAACCGAAGCGAACCTGGGAAAAGATTACTGTTTGATTATCCCAATCGAACAGTATTCTTTAAAATATTTTTGTTTACTAATTGTCCATTTGTCATGGTCTGGGAGAGATAGCCTGTATCTCTCCATAGACATGATAATGTATATATCTCCTGGTCAGGGTATGATTGCATTATAAATTATTCGTCGACTAGGGCATATGACAATACGTACATTCCGTCTAAAGTTATTATGGAAACCACATAAATCTCAATACCGTGAATTTGCTTTCAAAAGATTTTGACATCTTTGTTAAGATTAATTTAAAGTAAAGCTTGGCTCAAATTTTAGGGAGTTTCAACATGTTTTATTGAAGTTATTGGATTTATTATAAAAACTGCAGTTTGAAGATATTAGCAAAACCAGAAAATCACTTTTTACTTCAGTAGCAAGGTAATAAAATCATCAACAAGTGATCAGCATCTATATTAGAACAAATAACAAACATATATGACAAGTCTTTGAAGCATTTGTATCTTAATATTCTGACTGTGCTCAATAGTATCCAGTAATCTATTATTCAGTGATTTTGTTATTTTTTTTATTTCACCGAATTCAATTTCCAAAATGGAGGTTTCATTTGCTTCCTATATATCTGCCTGCCACCTTATATTTTATCTTCGCAATTTACCATAGATTCCCGCTTGGATTCAGATCAGGACTTGATAGTGGCCATTCCATTATCTTCTCACATGTAAATCTTTTACACTAAAAAAATCCACAGGTAATCTTAGATACACAAGAAGGAACCTTGTTGTACACAAATACATAATTCACCTTGAAACTGCGTATCTGGGACGTGTACTATTCAAAGAAAGACTTGTCCACGAAATCGCAATAGTTAGCACTGTTCAGTTTAACTCCTTCATCGACTTTGAATGGTTCAATAATGGTTTGATTGACAAGTCTATATCATCACACTGCAGTCTCCTTGCTGCCTTATTTTAACCACAGACACTTCTACATTGGATAAAATCCATCCTCTGGCCCATTCATCAGGTTCATTGAGTGTCACCCGAGATTCACTCGTGAAAATTACTTTAGAAAAGTCAATTTCTATGTATTTCTTGGCCCAATGTTGACGCCTTAAAATATTTGCTTTACCGAGGGGAGTTTGCTTAGGAGATTTCTTGACAGATCTCAGCTTGCGAAGTATTCTTCACCTTTTGTCGTTCTTGACTCATTCAATTCCCGCCTGTTCAAAGATTTGAGCACTGGTCAAAAGTGGTTGTTTCGTTATAATTCTCTTTAGTTTACGTTTCCGTTGAGGAGACAAATTCTGAAAGCCTTATCCTTTATTTCTTTTTCGCAACTTAGTTATATTTTCAAAAGCCCTCTTTATCGTTCGATGATCTCTGTGAAGCTGCTCTGATATCTTCAATGTGAACATTCCCTCACTCTATAACTTTTATCATTTTCTGTGTTTAGCATTGGTTAGATCCGTTCCGTTAGTTTCCATCATCTCTTTATATTAATCCAAAAGAGAACTTGTAGTTCTGCTTTAAAAGAAGTGTATATAAAAATAGAACATAACATTTAAGCTAAGATATCTATAAGCCAATGATAACTTCTGTAAATAATGTTTAAGTGAAAACAATAGAAAAGCTAACAAAATCAGTGTTTGGAAGTTTAATGAAATTTCATATTACTATTTGTGTTTATTATAGAGGATATTGT